TTGAAAGTCATTTGAAAAGTCCCTGAAAGGTCACTGTCAATAAAAATGGATGGAACTAGAAAAAACATCCTGATGAGCATGAAAGATGAACATGGTATGTACTCATAAGTGGATGCTAGCAAAGGACATTGAGCCTATAGTTCATGATCCAAGAGAAGCTAAGTAACAAGGTGAACCTTTAGAAAAACATATATAGATCCACCTGGAAAGGGGAAATAGACAAGATTGCCTGACAAAATTGGGAGCTTGGGGATGGAAGGAGAAGGGAGAGTGGAAGGGGAAGGGGAAAAAAGAAGGGGAAGGGGGGAGGAGAACTTGAGGGAACAGGATAGTCGAGATAGTGGAAGGACAGAGGTGAGAGCAAGGAAAGAGATATTTTGATTGAGGGAGCCATTATGGGGCTAGCAAGAAACCTGACTCTTGAGAAATTCCCAGGAATCCACAAGGATGATCCCAGTTAAGACCCTAAACAATAGAGGAGAGGGTGCCTGAACTGGCCTTGCCCTGCAGTCAGATTAATGAGTATCTTAAATATCACCATAGAACCTTCATCCAGCAACTGATGGAAACAGAGGCAGAGACCCACAGTGGAGAACTGGGCTAAGCTCCCAAAATCCGGTTAAAGAGTGGGAGGAGTGAGAATATGAGCAAAGAGGTCAAGACCATGATGGGGACACCCACTGAAACAATCTACCTGAGCTATTGGGAGCTCACCAACTCCAACTTCCATACAGGGAAGGAACCAGCATAGGACCAAACTAGGCCCTCTGAATGTGGGTGACAGTTGCAAGACTGGGGCAGACTGAGGGGCCACTGGCAGTGACACCAGGATTTATCCCTTCTATTTGTACTGGCTTTATGGGAGCCTATTCTTTTTGGATGGATACCTTGCTCAGCCTAGATATAGTAGGGAGGGCATTGGACCTTCTCCAAAGCCATATGCCTTACCCTCTCTGAGGAGTGGATGGGGGTAGGGTGGGGTGGGATAGGTGGAGGGAGTGGGAACTGGGATTGGTGTGTAAAATGAAAAAAGATAGTTCTCTTTTTTAAAAAAAAAAGAATAAAAGAATTTTTTAAAAGAACACTATGTTAAGCTTTAGGTCAAACAACAGTAATAATAATTTCATTTCAATGACTCCTCAGTGGCACAGCAGTGTTTTCTTGGGCCAGAGTTAATAATATTCCAGCCACTCGAACCTACTAGTGAAGAACAGGTGAATAAACCTTTCTATAGAGAAGTGGATATGGGTACTTTACCAAAAGCCAGTCACCTAGAAAGTTACTACGACATTCTGTTATATTAAAGGATCTAAATTGAAAGCTATGCTTATGTTGTTCTAACAAAATTACTTAAACCTTTGTGTTTGTGAACATTTGCTGATATGGTCAGTGATCTGATGCCATTCATAGTGTCTCTATACCTAGTCCATAGTGACTGGCAAAGAAAACCATAGTATTCTAGGATTTCCTATAAAGCAGTGGTTCTCAACCTGTGAGTCTCAACCCCTTTGGGAATTGCATGTCAGATATTTATATTACATTTCATAGCAGTAACAAAATTAGTTATGAAGTAACAATGAAAACAATTTTATAACCACATGAGGAACTATATAAAACGGTCACAGCACTAAGAAACTTGAGAACCACTGCTCTAAAGCAATAGCAATCTGTAGGGATAAGTTCACCTCGGGCGAATGTTTACCTATAAATCTGGCGAGTGTGCTCGCCCGCTCACTTCTGCTTTCCTGGTCTCCGCAGGAACCGTGGTTCTGTAAGTCTATTTTTTCCATTAAAGCTATAGATATATTTTTACAATCTGTCTGCATTCTTTTACACCGGTACAGCAATCATACACACAGGCACACACATGAAGCAAAATGTCTTTTGATAACTGGAAGTGTTTGTGTGTGTACACACGTGCATGAGCCTGCATGTGTGCATGTGTAAATGATGATGATTTAAGCTGTTTTCTAAAAAGTCCCAGGCTGGAAATGATAGCACACCTATAATCCCAGCACCTGGGAGGCTGAAGCAGGGAACATAGCAAGAGCCTGTCTCAAAAAAATAAATAAATAAAATCCTCCAGGCATGGTAACACATGTCTTTAATCACAGTACTCAGAAAACAGAGGCAGGTGGATTCTTTGTGAGTTGGAGACTAGCCTGAACTACATGTTGAATTCCAGGATAGCCAGGGCTACATAGTGAGATCCTGTCTCAAGAAGCCAAAAGTAAGATAAAAATCCCAAAATAACATTTTCACAGATCTTCTCTTCTGTAATAAATTCAGTAACTTCTCTTGTAAATTTACATTAATTTAACCTTTTACCTATGTGTTTTCTTGCATTTTGGTGTTATTGTTTCTGTTCTTAGATTCAGACTTTAGTTACTTATACTTAATGGAAAAATGACTAAGGTAACATCACCATTTTAATTATCATTATGATAAACTTTGCATTGAAGTATTATGTACATCCAGAAAATATAGAATGTGTTTTTGTACAGCTGAATGAATTTTTATGAATTAAACGTATTCATTTAACTGCCACTCAGATCAAGAAATAGAACATTATCAACACCCCAGAAGCCTTTCTTCTGCTCCCTGCCAGTAACTGACCTCCCTCACCATAGGTAACAGTTTTGCCAGTTTTCGAACTTCATATAAATAGAATCCTATAGTATGTATTCATTTGAGAGTGGATTGTTTTGTTTATCATTATGCTTGTGCGATCCATCTATGCTGTTGCATGTAGTAGTTCATTTTTCACTCATGCATCATATCTCATTGTTTGAATATGCCACAATTTACCCATTCACCTTTAGTAAGACATTTAGGTTGTTTCCAGCTATTGTAGAAAGTGAACCTTTTTACCCTCTGTAATAATAAAATGTCTGTACATTTTTATTAAAAATATATTTAAAATTTAAATATAATAAAAATATATTTGCTAGGTCAAAGAACATATATATCTGTTCATATCCTGTACATATCTTATAACTGTATTTGCTCCCAAAGTGGCATATATCAATTCATGCCCAAGCCAGCAATGTAACAATAGGTCTATTTGCTTCCGTTTCTTACCATCACTTAGACCTTCAAAGACCAGTTTGGGGTCAATTTTTTAAATATTAGCCGTTCTGGTAGATAACAGTGATTATGATTTCAATATCTATGATAGCTAGTTAGGTTGAGAGCCTTTTGTTTATCTGCTGCAAGAGGTAGCCTTATTTATGAAGTGTCTGCCTAAATCTTTTGCCTAGTTTTTAATTGAATTTTTTGTATATCTTTAATTGTAAATATCGTCTACCCCAAAAATTGCTTTTTCACTCTCTTTTTGTAACCAAAGTTTTAGTGTGTATGTTTCTTCAATCTTTTCCTATTGTGTTTGGTGGCATTTGTGTTTCATGTAAAATATCTTTGCCTATCCTGATGTCATAAATGTATTCTCCTCTGTGTTCTTCCAGAAGCCTTATAAACAAAAGCTTCATTCCAGAAAATTTATAATCAACTTTTTTCTTGTACAGTTTAAAGCACTTGAGATAAACCATTAGTTAATATTCTATAATTTCCTTGTAAGGCCATGCACCAAAGAAGCACACTATATATTTATTTGATCTTGAAGTCTCTGGAGAGCATGTATTTTGTCCTTTTCAGTTAGAAGCAGGCCTCTGAATAAAGTTTTAAAATTTAGCTGCAGTTAATGCTTAAGATTTCTGCATTTTCTTCCAATATTTATTGCTTTTGGATTTCCATATAATAGAATAATTTTAATGTACAAATATATATATTTGTTAACTATTCAAGATACTTTATTTGAAATCATAAGCTTTGGGAAGAATGCTTAGAAGAAAATATGTACTTTCTGCACTTACATGGTCAATTATATATATTACATGTATTGATATTGTTTTATTAATTATCCTACACATATAATGACTCTAGAATTAAATTAGCTCTAAAATCCTTCCAGAGGAATGGTTTTCATTATTTTATGATAATACGAGTATTTCTCCCCCCCCCTTTTTAGATAACCCACACTGTTCTTTAAAATTGCCAAGAAAAGAAAAGATAATCCAGATTTCCTTTTGGTTATATTTTCTGATGCCTCATCTGGTACTTAAACCATCAATTATAGATTAAGTTGTAGACATTTCTTTCCCTGACTGGTTTTCTTGCCTTGAGTTCTTAGGTATCAGAAAGGCCATGGATTTGCTCAAGCTCACTACAAAAGTTGATGGAATAATAGGAATTTTTTTCCATCATGTAGCCCTGGCTCAGACCTATGGCTGCTCTCATATCTTGAGTTTATGCAACTCTATGATCTCTTGACTTTAACTCATTTGCATAATGAAAGTAGTAAGAATTATAACACTAGTGTTACTGAAACATGTTTTTATTATATGCCATAACAAATACTTTTATTTCATGTAAGCATAATAATCTTACAAGTTTGGTGTTATTTAATAATTTATTATTCTTTTCCCTACTTTTTCATAAAGAAAACTGAACCTTATCTAAATTAAGTAATTTTTCAGAACCACTTTACAAATGAATGACAGGAAAAAGAAACAGGTTTGTGTAAGTCTAAAACCTAGTCTGTCCATGGAAGAAAAAAATCACGGGTTTTGCTGAGGTGTATGTTTAAACATGATACCTTTGTGCAGCTAACACTCAATCCCAGATTTTTCCCTTTTAAATATACTTGGTGACCATTAGGTCAAGAACACACAATACATCAACATTTTATTAGAATAAATAGTAGTAGGGTCCCAGATCTGTGTAGGTGAATGAAGCATATCATTATCAGTCAATAAGTTCACAGCAGATGATGAAACTGAATTTTCAGAATCATTTGATTCTAGAAAGGGATCTGCCATATCTCCCAGAAGGAATAGCAAGACATGTGCCCTTGTGTAGCCAGAGTCATTTGGCTTATCCTGTCAGTACCTGAAATCTGTCATTTGTTGATAGTTGCCGATGTCTTTCTATTGCTTTTCTAGGATTATATCTGAAAGGGTAAAGGAAGTTCTCTTTGTCCGGCCGCGGAAATATATCCGTTGCTCTAGCCCAGAGTCTGCAGAGCCTGGCTATATCAATACCCTAGAGCTGGCAGCATCTACATGCCGATATGACCTAGATGACATGGACACCTTCTGGCTTCAAGAACTCAATGAAGACCTTGGAGAAATGGGTAAGCTGTTTTCTTAAAAGTAAATTGTGCTTTGACTTTCACCAGTGATTTTTTTTTAAATTGGTAGAACTCTGTAAAACTTTTTTCATCTGCTTTCCTTTCTTACCTACCCTTTCACTTATTTTTATTTTTGAAGAAATGAGCTATTTATTCAAATGTATAAAGTATAGCAGTATTTTATCAGTATTAATTTTAATCAGTATTAAGATAGAGTAATAAAATTTAAGTGATCCTTCATTTATTCAGTATAATAGCATAGATACAGATAGCACATAAGTTTCATGAAGTTGCTTCATAATGCTAAATGTTAGTGTAGTGATGGTTGATTGAACTTCTAGTTAGAAAGGATACTGAGACCTGTTTGTGGATCAGTCCTGAAAATCACTCTTAATAATGGACAAGTCCATAGAGGTGTGTCTCTCAGGTGTTAGAAAAAAAGGTTTATCAGTATTTAACAGTACCCACTATCCTACTACAAGTGACAGGTTACTATGACCATTGCCCTTTAATATAAGGCTTATAATTTTGTTGCCCAGAATGGTAGGCCTATGGAAAAATATCTCCAAAGTAGTTCTTAGCTACCTTCAGTTTGTTCTCTATGTTAAAGCTAGTATATGAATACATGTGGAAAAAGTTAAAATTATATTAAATCCTCTTTGGCATGGCGATGGAAGCTATTCTGCCAACAACTACTTCTTAATTTTTGTTTTATAATCTTAGTATGTTTTGTTTCTTCTTTATTTGTTCTCTAGGAGGAATAAGGGTGTGGCCAATTTAGAGTGTAAATCATAGAGAATGGAATAAAAGAAGGACAAAGACATAATCAAGTACCACAGTGTGTGGTTTTGCATGCAAATGGAATTCATGATAACACAACCATCACAGTGCTTCTTTTGATAAGAAACTGCCCTATAAGTTCAATGTTTTACAACTAATTCTCTTTGGATGAGGATTACATTTTTTTATAATGGAAAAGTTTGATTTGCAGAAAAAATGGACATTCAGTGCAGAAAATACAAATGTATACCTAAAGTATATTCTGTGTCCTAATATTAACATATTTCTTTGCCATGATGCATTTGTCAGGATGAAGAAACCATCACCATTAACTAATGTTCCAGAATTTTGGGCTTTTTATTTTTTCTCTACTAATCTTTTTCTTGTCTAGGATCCCATCCTATCCAGGACAATACATTTCATTTAATCTTAGAAGAGATGTTTTGTGTGTATAGGGGTGAGGCTTCATGGGCTTTTTCCCCTGTCTACTTTAGCATGTCTATTTGTGTCATCCTTGTTCAGATCATGTATAGGTATTCATGTTGGTGAGATTTTGTGTGTGTAGCTTCTGACATCACTAGGAGACACAATCTCACAGCAAACTCCCTGGTCTGGTCTTCTTGCTTTTACAATCATACTGCTCCCTCATCTGAAATGTTCCCTTAGCTTGAGCAGACATGTTTTGTAGATATATCAAATGAGACTTGGCTCTACAACTCTACATTTTGATTGGTTGTGGTTTTCTGTGGTGGTCTATATTTGTTTCAAAGACAAGTTTCCTTGATGAGGGGTGAAGACTACACTTATCTGTGGATATAAGGACAAATGTTTAGAATGTAGTTAGGGATTATATGGGCTTAATAAAGTAGTGATTTTAATAAAGTAGTGATTTTTAGGTTCTCCTTCAATATCCATGACTTTGCTTGCATTGAGTAATTAGCTAGGTTTCCAGTACGGTTTCCCTCTGTTAAGTGGGTTGTTTTTTTTTATTTGACCAATGAAAGTAAGTTAAGTGGGTTTTAAGTTCAATTAGAGAGCTATTGGTTAACCAGCAAGGTGTGAATACCACTATTGCATTCTTAGTGTTCTTGTGCAGTACTCAACCCTACACAAAGAACTACGGGCAATCAATGAATGTTTGAGAGCAAGAGAAACAGAGATCACAGTGACTAGTTATCCAGTACCAAATGCTTAACTCTGAAAACATACATACATGTAGCATTATACAGATTGACCAGGTTATATTTAGGAACCTATATTTATAGACATATATTCATGGAGCAATAAAGAAGCCATGTGTTTAAAGGAAAATGAGAAAGGTATATGAAAAGGTTTGGAGAGAGAAATGATGTGAATATATTATAATCTCAACAAAATAAAAAATAGGTTTTTGATTGAACTTTAGTTTTTAAATATTTTAGATGTATTTATTTTATTTATATGAGAGTTTTGCCTATATGTGTGTACATGCACTACATACATGCCTGGTATCTGTAAAGGCCAGAAGTCGGCATCAAATCCCTTGAAACTGTGTTGAGGGAGCTGTGGGTTGCATTCCGCCACCCAGCTCCCGCCACCGGCTAGCTTTACCCGAAATAACAACACACAAACTGTATTCATTTAAACACTGCTTGGCCCACTAGCTCTAGCCTCTTACGGGCTAATTCTCACATTTTGCCTAACCCATTTTTAGTAATCTGTGTAGCACCAGTCTTACCAGGAAAGATTCAGCATGTCTGACCTGGCGGCTTGCTTCATCGCATCTGCCCTGGCGATGAGCTGCATGGTGTCTGTCTGAGGCGTCTTACCTCACTTCCTCTTCCTCCCAGCACTCTGTTCTGTTTACTCCACCCACCTATGTTCTAACCTATGAGGGCCAAGCAGTTTCTTTATTATAATTAACCAATGACCTTCCTCCGTCAAAACTGGAGTTACAGATGGTTGCAATTCACCATGTAGGTACTGGTACTTGAGCCTAAGTCCTCTAGAAGAACAAGTGATCCAGAGTTGTTGAGGAGGATTGCCTTGTGTTGGATTTTTCCTTAGGAAGAATGATGTTATAGTCACACATTTTAGAGCTTAAAATAAACTTTTAAAAATATTAAATTAAGCATTTTTGCTCAAGTTAAAGAATTTAAAATGTGTATGCTGGTTATATACTGGGTACAATACTAACCAATGAGCAAACATCCCATCCTCACAAGTTAATGAATTTAGTATTATCATTTTATAGATAAGAACAGTAAGATAACAAAGTTTGCATAGCTAATATGAGATAAAGTTGGAATTTGAATCCAAGTTTTTATAACTAGACTCTATAACTCTGCTTTTTAAAATTAGCTTATAAAGTAGCAAGTTTATTAAATTTTCATACATACTAAAATTTAGTTTATCCAGTCTTCAGTCCCTCATCTCCCCACTTCCCATCCCTGCTTAAACCCTTATATTTGGTATTCCCCCTTGTGTTTTCAAATCTATTACCTTTCCCACCCATCTTTGTTAATTGTGGCCTCTTTTTTTCTCCTGTCATAGGTCCCTTTCTATTTTCCTGAACTCTACATAATCATTCCTACACAAATATAAATATATTAAAAATTAGACTATAGGTTCCACATAGGAGTGAAAACATGGTGCTTATCTTTCTGAGACCATGTTACCACACACAATATATTTTCCAGTTATTTCCGCTTTCTTGTGAACTTCATTTTTTCTTTATGAATTGATAAAATTATACTATATTTGCATTATTCATTTATCAGTTGAGCATTTGTTTGGGCTGATTCCATTTTCTTGCTATTGTCAATAGAGCAACAGTAAAAAACATGGATATGCAAATATCTGTGTGATGGGATATAGAATTCTTTGAGTATATATCCAGACTAGACACTATATGCTTTGTTCCTGCATATCTATATGTGTATTTGATATATACATATGTGTATGTAAGTATATGTATATGTATATGGTATGTCTAGGCTGAAAATAAGCCAGAGAAAATCTTTGCTTTGTAAGTAGATAAAATTTTAAAAGGTAATTCATACATATTTTAAAATTCTTTAGATGTCTTACATTAAAAATATTGTTGGATAAATTTATCTTGAATCATTTTGAAAATTATTCCTTAGTTTCTAAAAGTAACTAAATAATGTTCCAAAAATCATTGGTCCTCTTAAGAAGAAAAATACTTAGTTTTTACCAATATCAGCCCTATGAATCTTTCAGTTGGGTTAAATATGGAGGGTGAGGAGAAAAATAAAAGTATAAAAAGAAAAACAAATCAGAAAGAAAAGGGGTAATTTCAGAATTACATTTAAATCTTTGTGAATGTTGAGAGGTTTCTATTATTGCTTGTTATTGAAAAATGGTATTTGATTTTTTTAAATCAGTTTTGAAAAACAGTATTTCATATACATATCCATATATACATATTACCTAGGATTTTCTTTTATGGGTTAATACATTATCAAATGAAAACTTCTTGTTATGACCACTAAGTATTTTTAGTGAAGCTAAGTTACTAATACATTATTTGTGCTCAAACAAGTAAAAGATTTAAATGCTACGAATTAAAGTGTTCAAAGTTACACCTTTGGTTCAAGTCTTATTAGTAGGAATAAGAGAAAATTAATTAAGGTTTTAGCAGGAGATTGACTAGGATTTATTTTTATTTTTTTCGAGACAGGGTTTCTCTGTAGCTTTGGAGCCTGTCCTGGAACTCCCTTTGTATACCAGGCTGGTCTCGAACTCACAGAGATCCGCCTGTCTCCGCCTCCCGAGTGCTGGGATTACAGGCGTGGGCCACCACCGCCCGGCTAGGATTTATTTTTTAATTTTATATTTATTTATGTATATGTGTGTTGAGGAGAATTTTTGAGAATTGATTCTTTGTTGCCACCATGAGGTTTCCAGGAATTAAAATCAAGTCATCAGACTTAGCAGCAAGTGTCTTTACCCACTGAGTCATCTCACTAGCCCCCTGACTAGGATTTAGTAAAAAAAAAAAATGTAAGCATCTGTAAATTTTTAAGAAAATGTGCTGTGATGTATTTCTTCATTAATGTATTAAACACTAATTTTATTTTACTCAATGTTAGAATTTCTCTAGTAAAAAAAATCCTTGAAATCTGGTTGCTTTAGATCAGGAAAAAAAAAAGATGGCTTTGTCCCTTAGCATCCTGCCTACCCCTGCAGTTGATGATTTGGGAATGACAGCTGACAGAAGAGTTATTGGTTTTATTTTTGTGCAGGTTATGGGCCAATTGATGAGACGCTTATGGAAAAAACAATAGAAGTTCTAGAACGCCACTGCCATCAAAATATGAACCATGCTATTGAGACAGAAGAAGGGCTAGGAATAGAATATGATGAAGATGTGATCTGTGACGTGTGCCGGTCTCCAGACAGTGAAGAAGGGAATGATATGGTATTCTGTGATAAGTGTAACGTCTGTGTGCATCAGGTTAGTGGAAATGGAGACTGCCCCCTCATACAAGGTCAACATATTAGTGTTAAAGTCAAAAGACAACTTTTGGGATTTGGTTCTTCTAGTATTGGAGTTCAGAAGTTTAAACTAAAATCATCAGGCTTAGTCCAAGTGTCCTTAATCTGATATCTCATTGTTCCAATGGTCAGCATTTTTGAAGCTCAGTGATTATTATTTCTAACACTCATATCTGAACAATGTCTTATATTTAAAGGTGAAAATCAAAATTAGGCTTTGCTGTTCTTCAGTACTTCTAGAAACATTGCTTGTGGTCCCTAAGCTGCTTTACCTACTAATATTCCCCCAAGAGGCTAAACCTAGGCCTTTATTGTGTCATTTCATGTCTAGACCATTGAGATTTTTCTCATTTGATTCACTCAGGAAGTCCCTATGCTTCTTGCATCATCTACATTGGAGATTTTTCTCATCTTAGTATTACAAACAATGTAAGGAAAGGTTAAATGACTTTACACAAGTTAGTTGACACTTGTTCTGTCACACTGTCATATTAATAATGTTAGCTTTAATGATATCAGCACTTGTTTCAACTCTTACCCATATCCTATGCTCTGTTCTGTGGTAAAACAAAGTCACTTGAGGTACAGTGATGAATATTGCTAACACTATCCTGTCTTCATTTTACAGCCATGTCTGAATTTAAAAATATCTTCTGAGAGAGAGCTACAGGTGGTTGGTTCAGTTGGTGAAGTACTTGATGCCAAAGCATGAGAACCTGAGTTTCCAAAACACACATAAAGAACTAAGTTACAGGGGCACACATGGAGAGGCAGCGTTAGGATCCCTGGTACTTGCTGCCCAGCCAATCTAGCTGAATCAAATTCTTAAGAGACCCTGGTTCAAGAAACAATATGGAGGGCAATTGAGGAAGACATTCAGCTTAACCTATGACACACACACACAAGAGGATACCCATACACAGTCTTGTCTTCCTACACACATACAAGCACACACACTTACTCAATCACACACACACAAGGATACCCATACACAGTCTTGTCTCCTACCTTAGGTTATCAAAGTGTACATATCTTCCAAGATGTAGTTCAATTCAATTCTTGACTTCTACCTAACTAAATTTTTAATCTTCTGAACATATTGTATATTTTATTCGTATTATTAGTTTATGTAACAAATACTGTAAATGCACTAAGCACCATCTATGAGCCAGGACCATGCTGCATTATGGTGACACAGTGATGAAGAACTTTATACTTTCTGCCCCTTCCCCCAAGAAAACCACAGTATAATGATTAAAAAGAAACTACCAGTTTACCAGAGTGCCAGGTGATTTTTGTTTCGGTTTTTTGGTTTTTGTTTTTCAAGACAGGGTTTCTCTGTAGCTTTGAAGGCTGTCCTGGAACTCACTCTGTAGACCAGGCTGGCCACAGATTCACAGAAATCTGCCTGTCTCTGCCTCCTGAGAGCTGGGAGTAAAGGCATGTGCCACCACCACCTCTCCACCAGCTGATTTTATAGATTATAAATGCATGTGGAAATGGCATGGAAGAGATAAAAATTAAAAAACAACTTCCAACAAGTGGCACTCATGCTGAATGTCAAAATGTATGTCAAACCACAGAGGTCTTTTCAGTCAGAAGAGAATATGTTCATGGCAAGTAGTCAAAGTGGGCAAAATATTTTGGAAGCATTTTTTTTTCAGAAATACATTAGAGCAATTAAGAGGGGAACTGGACAGAATTGAAGATGGGGGATCTAGAATAATTTCAAGTATCTTCCACCTCCCTGAGTTTATTATTTTCTAATATCATTACATAAAGAATTAAAAAAGCTCTCAGAGCTCATTATGGATTATTGTGATTCAATTCACAAGTCTCCTGGTTCAACCTAAACAAATAATTTCTACAATTTGCTGAATGTTTTTCATGTACCAGGTCGTATTAGACTCTTTATAAACATTAGCTGATTTGTATTCATATAGTTCACTATTTTCTATCACCTTTTTTCTTGATCACAATAGTACATGACATGTTGAAGTTACTCCAGTACTGATTTGATGACCTGTTACAATATATAAACATTGGAGACAATTTGGAAAACAGGAAAAAGAATCCATTTTTTTAAAAATAAAAATGTCTGTAACCCAACTCTCTGTTAATAATTCGCTAACTTTGGGATGAATCTCCACCTTGTCTTTTTCTATCTAGATAGGCATGCTAATCTTAGTTCAAATGCTGCTACATTCGTTTTTAGTGTTTAAAAATTGCTAAATCCTAGATAAGAACTTCTTCAGCTAGATTTGTCTTTATCCCCAAAACAGAGAATATTTTCTTAACTATGTCAAAATTGTTGTTAGTGCTAATACAGATACACTGACCATTCTTCCCTCTCTTCCTCATGCCTACAGGCTTGCTATGGCATCCTTAAGATTCCAGAAGGCAGCTGGCTGTGTCGTTCCTGTGTCCTGGGCATTTATCCACAGTGTGTTTTGTGTCCTAAGAAAGGTGGAGCTATGAAGACCACCAGGACAGGGACTAAATGGGCCCATGTCAGTTGTGCCCTGTGGATACCAGAAGTAAGAAACCATCTGAATCTGGGACCATTTACTCCAGGGTGTCCTACTTCCCATGATGTTTAGACAGACAGATACTTGTCATGGAAATGCTTCCTGCTCACCTATATTTCTGAGATTTCTGTGCCACCTCAGGTCTTCTTGGACACAAGTGTGCATTTTAGCCCAAACTTATGTATTTGTGAATGGTACTTTCAGTGGTGTTTGATAAATTTGTTTGAGAGAAGAGGCATAAAAGACCAGAGTGTGGGAGATGGAGATGGCATAGCTCTTAGGAGCTCACAGTGCTCTTATAGAGGATCTGAGTTCAGTTCCAATACCATGTCAGGCAGCTCACAACTGACTGCCTTTAATTCTGCTTCCCAGGGAATTGATGACCTCTGGTCTCCAGAAGTACCTCTACACATATACACATATAGTAATATTTTTATAAACAAATATTTTAAAACTATTTACTATATTTAAAATAAACACACTACTTTTTTAAAAAAAAAGACAAAGTGTGAGAAACATTTTAAAAGTAAACTTTACCTTACTTTAAAATACCTGTAGCCACAGCCAGGCGGTGGTGGTGCACGCCTTTAATCCCAGCACTCAGGAGGCAGAGGCAGGTGGATCTCTGTGAGTTTGAGGCCAGCCTGGTCTACAGAGTGAGTTCCAGGACAGGAACCAAAGCTACAGAGAAACCCTGTCTCAAAAAAAAAAAAAACACCTGTAGCCACAAATTAGTCTAAAACATGAAATACCACAGAACTATACTAATAGCATCCTGGAAGGCTCCCTTATATCCCCTCCTTTCCTTATTTCCTGGGAATAATAACCATTTTGATTTTGATCAGCTATAGATAAGTTTTATATATTTTTGAGCTTCATGTAAAAGGAATTCATACAGTAAGTATTATTTTATGTCTGGCTAGCACTCCATGTTGTAATATGTATCAGTAGTTCACCAATTTACATTGCTTAGTAGTTTGCCATTTTATGGATATACTGTTTATTCATCCTGCTATTGTTCATTAACTTAATTAAAACATGGCTTCTAAACTAAGCATAGTAGTACATTCCTGTAATCCCTATACTTGGGAGATTAAGATCTAGAAACCAGCTTGGAACTGTCTAGTGAGCTAAAAGCCAACCTACATACTTAGACCCTGTAAACCTACAAACAAAACCCACAGATTTGGGCTAGGGTGTAGCTAGTGGTAGAGTATTTGCCTAATATGAACAAAGCAGCTCTCCATTACCAAAAAATTAAATTTAAAAAGGTTGAAGCCAGCCCTGGTACATATGCCTGTAAACCTACATCTTTGGTTGGAAAGGCAGGATAGTCAAAAGTTCAAAGCCTGGGCTGCATAGTAAACTCAAGAGTAGCCTAAGCTATAGTGAGACCTTGTCTCAGAGAAAAAAACAAGAGCTAGGGAATATAGCTCAGAGGTAGAGCACTTGCTTAGCATGTGCAATGGCCTGGACTTGATCCCTAGTACCACACACATAAAAGTAAAACAAATCATCTATAATCCTAACACTCAGAAGGCTGAAATAAGAAGGTCATGAGTTAAGGACCACCCTGAGTTACATAGATGCTATCTCAAAAATAAAAATACTAAAACTTTTAGCCAGGCAGTGGTGGCTTACACCTTTAATCCCAGTACTTGGGAGGCAGAGGCAGGTGGATCTCTGTGAGTTCAAGGCCAGCCTGGTCTACAGAGTGAGTGCCAGGACAACCAGAATTGTTACACAGAGAAACCCTGTTTTGAAAGAAAAAAAAAACTTTCAAAAAACTTCTCTTAGGGCTTCTAATTCTTGATTTCTAGATTTTGAATTATTAAAGATCTCTCTTTCCTGATCTGGATATAACTTGTACTAGATGAATCATCTTAGTTTGATAGTTATTCACTGTTTAAAACCTGTTTCTTTCTGGTGCTGGAGAGATGGTCCAGGGATTAAGAGCATTGGCTACTTTTCCAGACCAAAATCCCAGCACCCATATAGTGGCTTAAAACCATTTGTAACTCCATTCCCAGAGAATTCAATACTTTTTTTTCAGACCTTTGTAGACAGTCCATGCATATGGTGTACAGACATGCATATAGGCTAAACACTCATACACAGAAAATAAAACAAAAAATAATAATTTTAAATATTTATTTCTTGGGTCTGGAAAAATGGCTCAGTGATTAGGAGCACTAGCTGTGGCTGTAGAAGACCCAGGTTCAAGTCCCAGCTCGCATATGGCAGCTCACAACTATCTGTAACTCCAGTTGCAGGGGATCCATGGCACCAGGCATACGTGTGGTGCACATATATATGCATGCAGGCAAAATATGCATACAAATAGAATAAATATTTAGAAAACAGTTTCTTTTAAAAGGCATGTATAAAGTTATAAAAGAGAAACAAGAACACATTTTTAGCAGTAATTAGATTGACCCTTTGTTTCCAGATGGAAAAGAATTTTTTCATCTTTTTTAAAGTATACCTTTCCTTTCAGCATCCCCAAAGACTTAATTTCACTTTGAAGCTACTTTGGCTGAGAGAGTAGGGTAAGCTAATAATAGTTACATAGTTTTAAAGATTGGGGTTTAGAAGTGATATCATCCTCATTCTTTCTAATTACATGCTGCAGTCTCTTCATTACATAAATTTGCTGCTACTTTCCAACAATATTATCCTGCTTTGTGAACCAAATATAAAGATCTGTCACCGCCTGTCTTTATATTTAGTTGATTAAATGAAATAGCAAGGCATGTGGTACCATCTCTAACATAAAACAGATACTAGAATTTCTAAACTTTCTTTCCTTTCCTTAGTAGCTTTCTTTGGTTCCTAAGTAAAGATGGATATATCTTGATTCTTTAAGGTAACCATGACTACCTAGTCTACCCTCGTGCACTCACATCACATATATGAATTGTTTACATTGCTAGAAGTAACTGAAGGACTGAGCAATGAAAAGAGATCTGTTTTGTTTATTCTTAGTTTCATACTAACCTTGGAAGATACGGCTTACCTCATTGTTTTAATGTTCTCAGCTTCATATAACATCATTTATAGTTTGTGAAAAGTACTTCTGAGATGCCTTGGTGCTTCTGCCTTATGATACTTTATTTGTAGGTCAGCATCGCTTGTCCTGAGAGAATGGAACCCATCACAAAAATCTCCCATATTCCACCTAGCCGGTGGGCCTTAGTTTGCAGCCTGTGCAAGTTGAAGACAGGGGCTTGTATTCAGGTAAGTGCCCTGAGAAGTAGTGGAATGAGCTAAAACCAAGAGTCTCCCCTCTCATGTGCAGGACGGTGTCATTCCACAGAGCATGTGTGGAAATCTTTTCAGATGTTGCTTCCAGGCTATTCAGCTTGGTTTTTGTTTTTTTTTTTTTTGGGGGGGGGATTGGTTTTTCGAGACAGGGTTTCTCTGCAGCTTTGGAGCCTGTCCTGGAACTAGCTCTTGTAGGCCAGGCTGGCCTCAAACTCACAGAGATCTGCCTGCCTCTGCCTCCCGAGTGCTGGGGTTAAAGGCATGCACCACCACTGCCCGGCTCATGGTTTTTTTTAAAGATTTATTTTTATTTATGTGTATGTGTGTGGGTACCCCCAGAGGCTAGAAGAGGATGTTGGATCTCCTGGAACTGGATTTACAGGTTGTTGTGAACCATCCAGCATAGCTGGGAACTTGGATCCTCTGAAAAAACAATAAATGGTTTTACCACTAAGCCTATTCCTTTCAACATTCATATTGGTTGTGGGCATAGTGATATACACCTTAGGCCCAGCTACTCGGGAAATTGGGACAGACGAATCAGTTCAGTTCAGGAGTCCAAGGCCAACCTGAAAAAACATAGTGAGATCCTTTCTCAAAATAATACTCATAGTGGTATTTAACCTTTTAGTGTCAGAGCTCATGAATTAACTGAACTCTGAAGCTGAGTGATTTCATTCTTAGTAGGAATAAGCTATAACTCTAAAGCTATAAGCCTATAACTCTAAGCTATAAGTCCATGTTCAGTAAATTCATTAATTGTCAATTTAAGATCCAGAATGATTGAATAGATGGCTCTATAAACATTTGAGTATGGAAAGGTATATTTGAATAGATAGTCTGGTGACTAGTTTTGAAAATCATTCTCATAGGCTTCTATGTTGCACATGGCAGTACAAGTAATGTTTTCTAAAATATCTGAGGTACAGTATCACTTCACTTTCTGTTCCAAACATACTAAGGTGGTACTGCTTGTAAGTGGGAAGGAAGGACTGACCTTCCATTCCATAGTCTTACTGTATGTAAGCTGCAGACGGTTGAAATTAGATTTTCCTGTACACCTTCAGAGAAAGGAGTCTCTGTAATGTCATAACTTAAGACAATGACACTAGGTGTTCACTGCTGATTAGCATATCAGGTTGCAGACTTGTTATCTAACAAATATGAGCACTTGTCATGTTTTTTAAAAATTTCTTTTGGCTGATTTTATTTATCTTAGCTATAACATTTTAGTATTTATAAAGGAAAAGTGTCCCCCTAATATTTATGGACTTTGCTGTCTAATATTATGTCAATTCAACACAAGCTAGGGTTATTTTGGAAATGACTCAATTGAGAAAATGCCCATAAATAGACAAGCCCGTGATGCATTTTCTTGATTGATGACTGATATGAGAGGTTCCAGCCCACCATGTGTGTGTGTGGGGGGGGGTGCCACTCCCAGTCTAGTCCTGGGTACTATAAGAAAGCAGTTTGAACAAGCCATAGGAGCAAGGCAGTAGACTCTTCCACGGCCTCTGCATCATTTCCCACCTTGCGTTTCTGTCCTGACTTCCTTGGATTATGCAAATTGTAAGATGAAATAAACCCTTTTCTCCCTAAGATACTTTTGATTATGGTGGATTTTTGTTTTTTTGTGAGGATGTTTGTTACTTTGTTTTCCCTGGTTTTGAGTTTTTTGAGACAGGCGCTCTCTGTGTAACAGCCCTTACTGTCCTGGAACTCGCTTTGTAGACCAATCTGGCCTCAAACTCACAGAGATCCACACATTTCTGCCTCCCAAGTGCTGGGATTAAGTTCATGGACCACTGTGCCAGGCCTGGTATTGGTGTTTTATCATAGCAGTAGAAACCCTGAGCCACTAACCTATCACATTGTCTGTTTGTTTAAGTTCTTTCCTGTTTGCTCTCCATATATGAGCCTCTTAAAGGCTAAGATGATACCATTCCACCATTAGTATTCATTTAGGGTTCATTAAATAAATGCATATGTTTCCTTGTATCGAATTAATTTATAATACATATATTCCATCAAAACAATATTTTCCATGTGCATTATTTAATAATTTTACAGTGGAGATTGACTTTGTATTCAAAAAATTACTTATTCTCCTCATTATGGCACCCACATTTCCCACTATTTTGCTGTTAAAGATTATTTTTATGCAATCAGTAATTAATAACATAGTGAGGAAAAAAAAACATTGGCCTTATCCTTTGCAGATCTGAGTTTGCATTGCAGCATTAGGCTACACATTCTGTGTTCTATTATATTGTTCATCTATGAGTTTTATCTTACCTAGTTTTGTTCTACGCTTTCCCCACACCTTGACATGGTTAGACATACAGTAAATACTAGATTAATGGGTGGCTAATAGATAAACAGATGAGTAGATGGAACATTCTAGAGGTTTTTTTGTCTGTAGACCAACGGTTTTTAATTTTATTTCTTAAAGTTCAGATTCTTGATTTTAGAGAACTCTGACTAAATTGAGGCTATTATGCATTTTTTTAGAAAAGATTACACTTTTTTTTTTTTTTTGGTTTTTCGAGACAGGGTTTCTCTGGCTTTGGAGCCTGTCCCGGAACTAGCTCTGTAGACCAGGCTGCTCTCGAACTAACAGAGATCCGCCTGCCTCTGCCTCCCGAGTGCTGGGATTAAAGGCGTGCGCCACCATCGCCCGGCAAGATTACACATTTTATTGATTTTTATTGAACTATACATTTTTCTCTGCTCCCCTTGCTTCCTCTCCCCTCCCCTTCAACCCTTTCCCAAGGTCCCAATGCTCCCAATTTACTCAGGAGATCTTGTCTTTTTCTACTTCCCGTATAGATTAAATCCATGTATGTCTCTCTTAGGGTCCTCTTTGTTGTCTAGTTTCTCTGGGATTGTGATTTGCAGGCTGGTTTGCTTTACTTTATGTTTAAAAACCATTTATGAGTGAGTACATATGATAATTGTTTTTCTGGGTCTAAGTTGCCTCACTCAATATGATGTTTCTAGCTCCATCCATTTGCCTGCAGATTTTTAAGATGTCATTATTTTTTTCTACTGTGCAGTACTCCATTGCTTTAAATGTACCACATTTTGCTTATCCATTCTTCAGTCGAGGGGCATTTAGTTTATTTTCAGGTTCTGGCTATGACAAACAATGCTGCTATGAACATAGTTGAGCACATGTTCTTGTGGCATGATTGAGCATCCTTTGGATATATACCCAAAAGTGATATTGCTGGGTCTTGAGGAAGGTTGTTTCCTAATTTTCTGAGAAATCGTCACACTGACATCCAAAGGGACTGTACCAGCTTGCATTCCCACCAGCAATGCAGGAGTGTTTCCCTTTCCCCACAACCTCTCCAGCATAAGTTGTCATAAGTGTTTTTGATCTTGGCCATTCTTACAGGTGTAAGATGGAATCTCAGAGTTGTTTTGATTTGCATTTCTCTGATGGCTAAGGATGTTGAACATTTCTTAAGTGTCTTTCAGTCATTTTAGATTCCTTTGTTGAAAGTTATCTGTTTAGGTCTGTGTCCCATTTTTTTATAGGATTATTTGTTATTTTGATGACCAATTTCTTGACTTATGTGCATATTTTGGAGATCAGTCTTCTGTGTGATGTGAGGTTGGTGAAGATCTTTTCCCATTCTGTAGGCTGCCATTTTGTCTTGCTGACTGCATCTTTTGCTTTACAGAAGTTTTTCAGTTTCAGGAGGTCCCATTTATTGTTTCTCTTGGTGTCTATGCTGCTATTATGCATTTTTTTCTTTATTTTTTGTTTATTTTTTTTAGTTGTTGAAAAATAAAATTTCTGCCTTCTCCCCATTTCCCTCCCCCTCCTCCCACACATTGCCCCCTCCCCCTCTCCCCCCCACTCCATTCCCCCTTCCTCTCGAGAATGAAGAGCAGTCCAGATTCTCTGCCCTGTGGGAAGTCCAAGGTCCTCCCACTTCTATTTTTGTGTGGTGCTGGAGATTAATCTCAAGATCTCAAGTATGCTGAGCAAATGCTTTACCACTGAACTGCATCCTTATAACAAACTTTAGTATAAGGAAATTTAATATGCTCAACAACTGTATATGCCTAATTGTATACTAGGGTTTACTTTGGGTCTACAACTGTGGAGTTTATATTTTAGTTTGTAAAAGTAGACAGCAATAGATGTTAAATAAAATGTTAGAAGGTGATACCTGCTGTGGAAAAGACTGTGGAGGTCAGTAAGGAGTTTGGAAGTGTGATGCAGGGAGTGTGAGTTACAAGTTTAAGCTGAGGGTTAGGGTAGGACTAACTATGGAGGTAACATTTGAACAAAGACTTCAGTGCAAGACAAAAAAACTATGTAGATGTTTAGGATGAAAGTGTTCCAGGCAGAGGAAACAGCCATGAGATAGGAGTGTGCCTGGCCTATTTGATAAAAAAGAAAGAATCCAGCAAGATGAATATGGAATGTTTGGGAAAGAAGATCAAAGAAATTATATGGGTCTTTAATGGTTAGAGGAAGGACTGTTAAATTTTTTCTGTAAATAGCAAGATAGTAAATATGTTAGACTTTGTAGACCATGTAGTTTCTTGTCACAGCCACTCAACTTTGCAATGTGGCCATAGACAGTGTTTAAATAAGAGCCTTTTTGAGCATGAAGGCTTCTGATAATCCTTTAGCAGACACTAGTCTGGATTTTGCCCAGCTTTCTAGACATACTTGCTCTAATTGCCAGATTTCCCAAATTTCTCTATTCTATATCTTATTTTGGAGTTCCTATTCTATCTAGATCCTGAGGCTTGACCTAGTCTATGAACTGAGACTGTGTCTAGAAAAAAAAATGGCTTTGAAGCTGGGTATGATAGCATGCACCTATAAGCCCTAACATTTGGAAGGCTGGGGCAGTAGTACCACCAGTTGTGGGCCAGCCTAGGCCATATAGTTAGACCCTGTCTGAAAACACAAGGTGGGAAAAAAAAGATGGAGGAAAGTGGAA